GTACAGCGAACAAACGACTTTTATAGAATTATGCCCTTTGCATTAAATGTAGGAACAGCCCTGCAAAATATATTTAGGCATGAAGTGATTTGCCCTATTTAAAGCAGCCTGCAGCACATATTTTCTTTGGTAGTGACAAGCAAATGTCACCCAGAGAAAGAATTCTCCATAACCCTACACTACAATGCATTCCACCTCCTCCTTGGTGCCTTGGGGAGGCTGAATCCAGAAACATGATTTATCTCCCTGATGGGACAGAGCTCTGGGCTGGGATTCCACGTAACTTATCACCAAGGGATTAGGGAATCCTTGCTGTTGTGCCATATCATCCTGCAAACAGAAAATGCCCAGAAAGATACTCACTTAGAAAAGACAGACAAGGAAAGTTCTCATACCACTCTCAGAAGCAAAAACAAGAGAAGGAGCATTATTAACCCATTAGTTAACAAATGCCTAACAGGAAAAATTCTTGCAATAAACTTGAGACCACATGCAGAGCTAACTTAGCAGCCACTGACATACGCCATGCATTTTTTAAGGAAAATGAGGTAATTGTAGTAAAATTTAGGAGCCAAATTTCTATAAGGGATGAAAAAGAAATCTGTTGTATAAATTAATTCTTTGAATTAAAAAAATGTAAGAGGATTTTTTTTGTATCTTAAGCAATGGAAATTCAGGTAGGATTATTTCTCCAGGCCTCACTGCTGAAACAGCTATCTGATAGAAGTGCATTTGTAATTTGGGGTTGTGTGACCAAGGTGTTGCAAGAGTTATTTATACAGTATATTTAGCACGGTGCTGCAGTACATGCAACTTAGATATAGCAGTCTAATACACAAATGGGCTTTCAAAGACAACATTTCTTCCGCATCATTAAAGATTGGGTATGAACAGTGACTTCTCCTTAGCAAATTCTGCACAACAGTTCTTTTTTTAAGTATTTATGAATTTAGGTTACTTTTCATTAGTTTTACTATCAAAGTTATGACAGATTAGAGTTCCTCAGAAAGATGCAAAGTGGCTCCAAAGGAAATACAGGTGCTGTTCAAAAGAAGGGTAGGTAACTGCTGTAATGAAACTCTTTTTTTTTTTTTTTTCTGTGAAGGATTGAAGAGTGAAAAATAGTTCATGTCCATAAAAGCTATATTAATTGCATGCAGTATCTGAAAAGAGTGTTTGGAGGAAGTGAAGACTGCACAATTTTTATCTGGTTTGTGCATTTGAGACATGAGAAATATCATGTGATACATCAGAAGTACAGAGCGGGGTTCAAAAATGGAAACTGTGCATTTCTCTAGTGCTTTGTAAAGCTCAGTAGCACAGACCTTCTTGGAATATCTGCCAAAAAAATAAACAGGAGACAGGTCATGAAGGCTTCCTGAAATAAGTTCCTAAAAGTAGTAACTACAGACCAAGAAAAAAGTTTTCATCCTTATATTCCTGTTGCCAAAGTTTTAATTTGCAACTGCATGAAGTTTTCCTACTTTATTCTGACCACAGTTAAGTAAAAATGCGCTCTCAAATCTTACTTGGAATCATTTTAAATTATGAGGACAAAAGCAGTCCCAAATGAGATTTGCTGTCATTGCTCAAAATGTTGAACATACAAATGGTATGAACATGTCTTTACTTCTAGAAGGTTAAAATCTGAATAGCACTGACATATAGTTTAAAGGATTAAAAAAAATCCTGTTATCTCCATTATACAGATGGTAAATTGAGGCATAGAAAGAATAAAAACTTGCCCAAGGTCAAATGAGAAATCTCTTTAGACACCATTTTTCTCTCTAACACACCTCAGTATAAATTTAGAGTCACCTAATAAAGAAATGTGGTAGTCATCCACATAACATACTTCATCATAGGAATCTTTTTCTTATCATTGTTTCTAAAATAAGTTCAAACTAACACTATCAATCTGCCTTGAACACAGTTTGGCTAGCCAGCTAAAAGCATTATCTGTGTCAACATGACAGAATACACCAGCGCATATTGTTTGAAATACTTTATTTTCCAACTAGAAACTTTCTAAAGGATCCCTTTAGAAGCTTAGAGTTCTTTTCTCTGTTTACCAGCTTCCAGTGTATTGTCAATTGATTTTCCCTTGGACGATAGGACCGGGGCAGTGATGGTCAGTACTTGGCACAAGTGAGGCCACACTTCAAATCCTGTGTTCAGTTTGGGGGCCCTCGCTACAAGAAAGACATTGAGGTGCTGGAGCATATGCAGAGAAGGGCAATGAAGCTGAGGAAGGGTCTGGAGCACAAGTCTGATGAGAAGCGGCTGAGGGAGTTGGGGTTGTTTAGCCTGCAGAACAGAAGGCTCAGGGGTGACCTTATCACTTTCTACAACTCACCTGAAAGGAGGTTGTAGCCAGCTGGGGGTTGGTCTGCTCTCCAAGTTACAAGTTACAGGACAAGAGGAAATGGTCTCAAGCACCAGGGGAGGTTTAGATTGGATATTAGGACAACTTTATTCATGGAAAGGGTTGTCAAGCACTGCAACAGGCTGCCCAGAGAAGCAGCTGAATCACCATCCCTGGAAGTACTTAAAAGACATGTAGATGTGGCACTCAGGGACATGGTTTAGTGGTAGACTTGTCAGTGCTGGGTTAACAGCTGCATTTGATGACCTTAAAGGTCTTTTTCAATCTAAAGGATACTATGATTCGATGTGTCTATATGCTTATGAAGGACACTCTAAAACTGTGCATGCACCAATTAAAGAGACCAGAGTCCTTCATAAAGCTCTCTGGACTATTTTTGAAAGGATAAAAAGTTAAATTAAATATTCCAGCCTCCAAAGCTGTCATCATAAAGGAAGGCTGTGATTGATCTGGTGTCAGGCATGGTTCACAGTATGTGAACGTGATGGACGTGGCTCCCTTTAATTACAGAGGATTAAAGCAGGAAGAGTCCTATTGATGTCTAGACTTGTAGCAGGAGCAACTCAGCAAGGAGACAAGGAGAATCCTTCCACTGCAGGAAGACGGTGACACACTTTAGTCATGACTTGACAAGAGGAAAATTGCAGTATTCATACATGATAAATCACATGCACCGAGCTGAGTGTACAGCTTGCAGTCAGTACTTTCCTGTAAGCAGTGTAAGCACCAGGACCACAGTGTGAAGCATCAGCTCACAGTCTTCCAAGCTGACTAATGACCTCAGCACTTGCAGTCTTCTGATGAATAAGGAATGCCAAATGACTGTTTCAGAGGTGGTTAGAGAGTCAGGAGGGGTGAGTCATGTTGGCATTATCTAAGGTCAGAGAGCAGAAGTTGCTTCCAAGCATCTTTATGAAAACACTTTCTTCCAGCCCTAGACAGAAAGTGCTTCTTACCGCTCATATAAAGAAACTAAGAGCCAGATTTGGTTCAACAGTTTTTCTAGTACTCATCACAGCCAGATTCATGCTTGCCTCCTGCCTCAGCAATGCCAATTGCTCTAGGTACACACCCCAGTGGTTACATCCTTCTTTCAGAGAGGCAGCTCTCACCAAACCTGATTCAACCAGAAAAATAAATGCATATGTGAGAATTAATTACACAGCCTCTATTAATTATTTACCTGTTATGATAGGAGCTACAATTAAAAAAGCTGGTTTTACTGCTCATTCCCTTATGTTCCTGTCGTAGACAGGGTGAAGTATTGCTTTTAAATTATCTCAGTGTTTTGCCCACAATTAATTTTTTTTTGCTAAAAACTAAAATTCATTCTTCAAGAGGTGAGCTTTTCCAAGAATAAGTGTCTTCAAATAAATTTTCAACGAAGTCATATTTAATAATTCCCAAGTCAGTAATGCCTAGACGTTATCCCTACACTTTGATCCCAAAAATCCGATATGCCCCTAATGCACATGCACTATGAAGACACCACTGAAGAAACACATTGCATGTTACTCAGCCATGCTAAGGTACTAGGATTAATATATTGATTTTAAAGTGTTATAAAGCTGAAAAAGTATTCATAGCTGTTTCTTAGAACATGTACATTGTGTCATAATAAAATAAGTACTGAATGTCTAGTTTTGTTTCTTATAATATGCACCTGATAACATGAAAACCCTCTGCTTTCCAGGAGTTCCACCTTATCACTCATAACATTTGTTTTGGAGAATTAACATTCCATTATTTTAAAATTAAAAAGGCAATTAACCCTGGACACATTTACAATTTAATTTGCTCTAAATTCTCTCCATGACCAAACATGCAAAATGCCAAGTACCATCTCTTCCAAACAGCAGTTACAGGCACACATAACATCCCAGACAGCATCTAGCATTTTGCAGAATAAGGCACCTGATTAAAAAAAAAAAAAAAAGAATATTGAATACCAGTGAAACAGTCAGCTAGAACATTTGCTGTTTCACAGAGCGTACCAAGTCTGTTTAACAGTTTGTGATAGAATAGACAGATATGTCATGTATATACCTCCAAATGGATTTTAAGTCAGCAGGATACAAGGGCCCAGACCAGAATGTGAGCAGAGTATCTCCTCACCATGTTCCCTGACATGGAAGTTAAATTATATCTTAAATTATCATACATGGCCAGAGTTCAGTGTTGTGCTTCTTGCTGACGAAAATCTCTCTAAGATTACAGAATGTTTTATGTCTCAGGTACATCCTGCTCTGTGTTTCTCAGGCCCTCTCTCCCCCAGGTCCACGGATGATAAAAGTATCTGTTGTTCTGCAGAGCTCCTATAAAAACACGTAAGATAATTCCAAGGCTATTTGCACTGAAAGCCTTTGAAACTTCTCTAATCATTAGGTATTGCACAATACACCTTCACTGACTCCACTGAAAACCAGTCTGGATTGTCACAAAGGCTCAAAATGTATGTGGAAAAGGAGAAAATGTAGCAACAGTGCACTGGTATGTAAGTGCCCACATCCTAAATTTCCTTTGCCAGACAAAAAAATTTCTTTTTTCATTGCTATACAGTCAGTAAACCTTCCTTTCAATGAAAGGAAACAAATTCCCTTGAAAAAATACATACCAAGTACATTAGCCGTACACTGAAGAATTCCTGAGACATCCTCAGTTTCTTCATTGCCAGAGCAGTCTGTATAGGAGCATCTGTTTGATATATTGTGAAAATTCTTCTCTGCATCCCTGTAGCTACAGAAAAAAAAAAATTAAAAAGTAATAAAGTTATAGCATCTCCTTATACAAATGCAAAGTCAACAAATGTCTTTCAGGAGTGGTGACAAAGGATTAAAACCTCTTGATGATGGATACTTTTAAGATTCAGCTGGACAGAGGGCTGGGCTATCTTGTCTAGACAATGCTTTTACCAAGAAAGGTTGGACTAGATGATCCTTAAGGTCCCTTTCCAATCTGGTATTCTATTATTCTATGATTGAAGAAGATTGCCTATTCTCCTTGTATAAGAAACATTACAGTTCATTAAGCAGTCACCTTCTGATGGGATTGTACAGAAGCAGGTCCAAACAGCTGTTTACCATTAATGTCCAGAGTATGTATTGCTACTTCAAAGCACCTCTAAGAATTTGAGAGAAAAAAATAAAATTAAAAAGCTTATCATGCAAGGCTGTGATTTGGGAGGCACAGAGCAAATGTTACCATGCACTTTTTACTATCTCACATTAGCACTTACCCAATAACTTGATGCTCAAAATACTGCAGTGTCTTTTGAAGAGTTTGCCGAATAGTCTGAGGCTAGGGAAGAATAATTTAAAGTATTGTGAGATTAGGGAGTATAGCACAGTTAAATTAACAGATCTTTTAACACACTATTTTTCCCTAGTTTTACTCCTCTTCATCTTCTACCTGCCATACACCCAACACAACAATGGATATGAAATATTATTATACATTCCTTGTATGTTACTTCATTTAAACAGGAATGAATTTTACAATGTGACATAATTAATACTGCTTATGACTAGTTGCACATAACAAAGGAACCACTTCACTGTCATCTCTCAAAAACTATCACCAACCAATTATCTCACTAATTGAAAATAATTTGAAATAGTCTGCAAGAAAATGTTATTATTTTGTGATGAAAGTATCACCAGGAAAAGACATTGAGTTTTTAAACTCTATATGCTCCCTGGGGCATTTTATAATAAAGAATATTAAAAGATGCAATTTATTTTGGCTTACTTTCCTGACAAGCTATGACTCTTTAGTCATCTTTCAAATTATCAGGAAAGTCAAGTTCATCAAAAGAAAATCATGACATGCTTCAAGCATTTCTATGCTATTTCATTTTAATAGATGTTCACCAAACTACATATGAGCATTATGTATTTATGTTTTTATTTGCATTATTAATACAACTACAGTGTTCCCAAAAATACTTAGGTGCATATATAAGTTTATTTTCTGAATTACTACTGTTGCCGAGGGTATTATTATTTTGTATTAATTCATGACAGATCAGAGAGGTGGTAGGTGACCCATCCTGGAAACATTCAAGGTCAAGTTGGATGGGGCTCTGAGGAACCTGATCTATCTGAAGATGTCCCTGCTCCTTCCAGGGAGGCTGGACTAGATGACCTTTAAAGGTCCCTTCCAACCCAAGCTATTCTATGATTCTATGAACAAAAATAAGCTCAAAATAGATGCAAAACTTGAAAGAGGTTTTTCTTGTTAACTCTGTTTCAGATAATTACTTTACTTCTCTGTGGGAGCTCAGTTACCTGTGCCAAAAGGCTTTAAAGTTACATGTTCTCTTGTAAAACACAATGGAAGCACCACAGGAATGAAACCATCATACATCAAGAAAAACAGCCCCTTCTCAGTGGTCCAACAGGTACTGAAGTCCTTAGGTCTAATGGGCTACACATGTATTTCATGGCATGTTCTCACAGTGATTCAGAAGCTTTCTTGTGCTCAGCACAGAAAAATCCACTCTTCACACAGAGAAAATATGTATTTTCCCACACCAGCAACAAAGCAAATCAAAATAGCTTTAAGCAAAGAAGTCCAGAGAGCTGCCATCTCCCATCTCCATACAGTATTTCCCTCAGCCCCACTCCCTACACACAAAACATTAGAACTCCACCATCGACTCCTCTGACATGAAATAGGGAATAATAGAAATGTTTGATTGCTAAATTAAATCTCCCTTCTGGTTCTGCTGAAGTGATTTTACAGCAATATGGAAGGCAATATGGAAAGCAGCAATGCTTGGTATGACAGCACAGAGGAAGGAAAACAGTTTTTTGTTTTCTCAGGAAGTTTACAGCTTACAACACCTGAGCAATGGATTGTTTTTGCCTTTCTCATGCCTGACACACAGATGCTGCACTCCTTACCCAGGAAAAAATGGCTTTGAGTATCTCAGGATTTGACCATACAAGCAATCTCCTAGTCCATGTTAACTTTCTCTTCTGAAAGCTAAATTGACTGCCTAGCTGTTGTCTGAAAATTTCATACAATCCCAGGAACTCACACCACTTTTTACTGGCAACTCCTATCAAATCTTGGAAATTAAGTACAGACAAAAATAGGATTTAATATTAAAACATTGGTCATAAACAGAGCTTTATGTAATATGCTCAGAGCCAGTATGAAAACTTATCCAAGGAGTCACAAATCTTTTTTTGTCTCTGCCATAAATGATTATGGCATGTTGCTATGCACAGTTAAAAAGCCACTATCCTCACCTTTTCAGTTTGCCATTTTTCATCACTGGTGAATGTCATTTTGCTGTAGATGTAATTCTGTAACCAGGGCCATGGCTAAACAAACCAGCGAGGAGATAAGACACCTGCTTACAGCTGCTTACCAGAGCAGTTTGGTGTATTACTTCTTCCATTACTGACAATGCATTGCCCACAGGAGAGAGAATGAGCAGGAGAAAATTTCCACATTTTTTCTGTATCCAGCACCAAGACTGGATGGAGGCAATATAGCTGAACCTTCTCCTGGAAGCATGACACACATCACCTCTCCAAGAAGCATAGTTCTGCCACTCAGGAAAGTAAGAGACAGCTTTTAACCACACACCTCCTCCACTGCAATGTAAGTCTGTGCCATTCAGGTACCCAGTGACAATTATTTACTGGAGAGGTTTTAAAGCTTCATGGCCACTTAAAATGAAAGATTTAGTGTAAATATAAACCAGTGACTGATACTTAAACAATCAAATGTCAACAATTCCTTTTGATTAGAATGATTTACTAATATTTGGTATGCATTACAAAAGTAATAGTCACATCAGTTCATGTTTCTAAGGGCAAATCAGAGGCAAATTATTGCTATTATTAACTGTAAATTAATTCAAGGATTGTCATACCAAATCACATCCAAACTCCATATGGAATGACAATATATAAGGTAGAAGGCAACACTGAAGATACTCAGACAGGCCTCTTGCGTGGCAGAGACCACAGGGCTTCCCAAAACTAATTCTGAATTCAGATATCAGGCCATGGCTAACCCTAATGTGTCAGAATAAACTGTAAAACAAAACTGAAATAATGATTCATACAGGTTTGAAGAAACCTCTGTAGGTCTTCTAGTCCAACCTCCTGCTCAAAGTAATTTGAGTTACAGCTGATTGCTCAGGTCATTCTCCAGACAAGTTTTGAGTGTCTCCAAGGATAGCAATCCCACAACCTCTCTAGGAAGCCTGTGCCAGTGTCTGAACACCCTCATGACATTTCAATTTTTTTTTCTTAATTCCGATTTGAATTAAGAAGCTGATCTTCCAGCTTTCCTACCTCTCATCCTTCTTCCATTTTGCATCCATGGAAACCCTGAAGAGTCAACTGTAGACTGCAACAAGATACCCCCAAAGCTATCTCTTCTGAAAAGCTGAAGAGATGCAGCTTCCCTAGCCTCTCCTCAGACGTCCCATGCTCCATCCCTGACATCCTGGTAATCTTCTGCTGGCCTCGATAGCAATCCCTGGAGGGTATGCAGCATTAACTAGTTGCTAATTTGACTTTGTGACTCTAATGGCCACCTTTTGAGCCCTAAGATCCAGTCAATATTCCATGTACCTTACCATCTGCTTAAGCAGTCTGTTTCTCACCAGTTTGGCTCTAATGACAGTACAGGACAACATGTCAAAGACTTTCCTACAATTAAGGTAGACAATATCCCTTCATCACTGAGCCAGTCATCTCATTACAGAACTCAGTCAGGTTGGTCAGATACAATCCATCCTTGGTAAAGGGTATAAATTTGGCTGTTCCAAATCACCACCTTATTGTCCTTTTTTGTGCTAAGAAAAGACTTCCAAAAGGACTTCCTCCATAATCTCCCCGTGCATTGAGGCTGATTGGTCCGTAGTTCCCTAGCATCTTCCTTGTCCTTCTGGATGCTGGGTACAATATTTGCCTTTTTCTAGTCATCAAGTGTCTCCCGTGACTGGAGTGAGGGAGACTTGGAGTCTTTCCTATTTCTATCCCTGCAGGTTTAGGTAATGCTTCAATATCCCTCGAGGGCTCAATATCCTGTGACTGCTTCCAACTTCTGTTGATATATTTTTCTGCATTTGAACAAATTAACTGTTCTGGTGCTTGAGAAGAGTGAATCTCAACCAGCTTCTTGTACCTATTTACCCTATAGGCGAGTTTCCCATTGGAGCCTGCCAAAATGATCTATGAAGAAGCCAAAATCTACTCTCCTGAAGTATGAGTCCACTTATTTGTCTTTCCTACCCCTCTCAGTGTTTTGAACTCCAGCATATCAGGATCACTTTCTCTAGGGATGCTTCAGCCTTTAGACCTTCAACCAGTTATTCCTCATTTGTGAGTAAAAGCTCCAGCAGAGTATTCCTACCTTGTCAGCTCATTGATCACCTACATTAAGAAACTATCCTCAGCACACTCCAAAAATCTCCTGCATTGCTTGTGCTCAGACCTATTCCTCTTGTAATGGATTTTGAGTGGGTTCAAGTCCCCCATAAATAACAAAGCTTACCATTTCAAAATTTCATCTAGCTGTCTAAAGGTTTCCTCTGCTTTCACTTCTTGACCTGACAGTGTGCAGCAGACGTAGCACCAAACCTGCTCATCTGTCTTCTGCTCCTGACTCTCATTCTCTGGGCCACCTTGCTCTGTTCAAAGAGAAGTGCCCACTCACTGCTGTCACCTCTTTACACAGAGTGCAGATCCTGCTCCTCAGCTTCTCAGTCCAGCCTTTCTGAAGAGCCTGTGTCTATCTCCTGCAGAGCTCTCATCCTGAGAGCCCTTACACACAAGGGTGTGTGAAATCCCACAGGAGGTCCAAGCGCAGTGGCAGCACGGGGATGTCTAATGCCACCTTTTTGCTCCCCATGCTGCCTGTGTTTGGGCACAGGTACTTGAGATGGGATCCCAGTGAGGTGAGCACAAGAACCTCTTCCATCTTTTTGCTCACTCTTCAGAGAATGAACACTCTTCCACAATAAACATAACTTAAAAACCCCTTCCCAAGGTTGTACAGCCAGTGAAAAGAGACCTGGCCTCACTTTGTCAGATGAATGCCATTCTTGCTCAGCAGTCCTTGCTCCTCAGCGCATGTCCCATGTCCATGGAGATCAAAGCCCTGCCCTGCCAGCAACACCACCAACAGAGCTACAGACTACCTTACTAGATGTATGTGCTACAACCAGAGCCTTACCCCCCTCACTAGCAAGATCAAGGAGACACCACCTGGGCACTCACACCCTTTGCCCTTGCATTCCAAGCCATGTAGTCACTCCTGATACTCTCCAG